TTTTCCCATTCCCACCATGTTTGAGTGAGACCCAGAACACCAACAATGAAAAGAAAAAGGTCGAAGAGAGTGTGGAACAGTGACAAATGGAAACAGGGAGTGTAGGCTAATGATCCCATTAAGTAATGGCACATGATTATGGAGAGCTGTCATAAGTTGATACTGTCACAATATACAATCACTGCCTGAAGGCTCTGAAAGAAAGCTTCTGTGCATGGCCTGACATTTTTCTCCTCTGCAGCAACGGCTCTCTTAATTGTTTGATTAATGAACTCATTAAATCCCAGTATTACTAGGAAAAGCATATTGACCTCCTGACCGATCACAATTAAAACGTAAATGCCACTTATTCAAGACAGTGGTTAGCCATCTATTTAAGCAGCAGAAGAGCATAAAAACCAGCTCTGTGTTTTGGGGATTTGGCCCATTTCACCCTCAAGAGCTGGATGTTAAGAGAATGTCACAACAATTGCAGGTGGAGGCCAACTTGCAGCATTACCTACAATTATAGCAGCATTTGCCTGGTTATTAGGATTATAACCAGTCTGGAAACACAATCCTCCATTGAATCAACAGCAAGAGGCTCACGCTGACTTCACCAGTGTTCAGATTTCACCCCGCATCGTCACTAAGCCCCACAGCGAGGAAGTGTAATTAAATTCTGCACGTACACCAAGCACAGCTCAAAGTTACACATCCCTGAGCGCTGCTGTGGAGAAAAATGCAGGGAGTCTTGCTCCCAAGCTGCAATAGCCCTAGCTGTGCTGTCTCCCTGGGGGTATTAATATGGGGCAGGCATATTTTCCTGTTCTCTTACTGCTGCATCGTTGACACACAGTCTCACTTCTGTAAAAAGGCCACCCTTGCTTTGTTGGAAAATACATTATGGTATGATGATGGTATACTTCAGCTATTGTCGTGTTGCTCAGTGTGCACGTATAAAGTTATTTCAGTGTCCCAGCTCGTGACTTTTGAGCGGCTGGTTTCATCATGGCAAACCCTCTGTTTGGAAACTTGGACAAACACCTTTGGCATGTGTCACTGATGCTTTTATGTCCAGTAGGAATTCTAGCTTCCCAGATTAGATGAGCTGAGTTAGGAGAACAGAGTTGTCTCTTGTAAGCCAAAATGCAAGTTGACGTATTTGAAGGCATTTTAGCTAGCTGTATTCACCCTGTTTTCCAGAGCAGGACAAAATATCCATGTTCTGGGCTTTCAAGGTTATAGGAAACTAGCGTCTTTGAGCTGCCAGGTCAAACCGTGTCAAGTTCTGAATTAGATTTGGTGTTTAAGGTCTTGCAGTCACTTCAGACTGCTGGTCGCTGTTACAGTAGGGAAAGGTGTTATCACTGCTCGTGCTGTTGTGTGGGCTACTGTAATTTGCCCCCAGCTCTAGAGATCTGAAGGAAACCTGAAGGTATATCCACACCAGCGCTGGTGTGACTAGTCTAGAGATTTGTCCTCCCTTTGCCTCTCTGCCAGAGCTCAAGCCCCTGGGGACTAAATGGCTTTCAGCTTCCCAGTTGTCCCTACCTGCCTCCTTTACTGTAGGACCTCAGCAGCCAAGGCTTTTGACTAACTCCCAAAGATCTGCCGTTGTTCTCAGTCTAGGCATAGCAACCCTAGAGGTCATGGCCCCATCTTAGACATCAGGTTGTACTACACAGCCTGGATGGCATGGGCTTTTAGAACAGATTTATATTAAAAAGGGCACCAATGATTTCACAAGGAAACTGCTCAGAAGAGTTCCTCCTTAGGCTGTGAGAGGAATCACGGCCACATCAGGAATGGGGAAACATTCTAGTCTCTTGTGAATTTTCTGCTGTAAAAGCCAAGTGCTTACCATAACCACTGGAGGCAGCAAAGATGGGCACACACCCCAGCACTTCACTAGAAACCATGGTACCTGAATTGTATAGAACATGGTGAAGACAGCAGTACTCTATTAATGTCCCTTGTATGCAGCGTAGGAGAGGACACAGCACTGTATGTGGAGGTCAGGTGCCTTTTGAACTTCATCGACATGTTTAACACCATCAGAACTAGCCCACAGAAGTAGTGAAAAAGTACCAAATAAACCATCAGTCATCTCAGTCATTACAGTTGGCAGAGCATTGCTGTAATCAACAATGCTTAATTCCCTGTTTTATTAGATTCCTTGGTGTTCAAATTATTATTTTTTTTTGTGAAAGGTTGCTAGCAGGCTGAGATACATAAAAGTAAAAAGGCTGAGAGGTTGGCTGTTTGCTATTTTATGCATTGCAAAATGGTAGTGCTGTAGTAAGTTTCCCTCCCAAGTAGGTATGGACATTAAAAAGTTTGCACTTAGAATCAAGAGGTTGCTTCTGTAACATCTCCAAGGCTGCCAAACCCTCACCTTCCTGGCTGCCTGTTTGTCATTCCAGTTAAGGACAAATTGGGACTCAGTGCCTGCTTCATGCCTGCGTTTGTCATGGCAACACGTCTGTCCTGGCCTGGGTCTCTGACTCTACCTGTGGACATTTCCCCAGAAGAGCTGCATCCCGCTCCCTGAAATTTACCATCACCAAGGTGATGTGGGACAAAACCAAGCAACACCATTGTTTCCTTAGCTCCAGTAGTAAAAGTTAGAGGGAGCCAAAATGTTAGTATTTAATGGCCATCAGAAGATAGTAATTGATCAGGAAAAGTTCACCCTGCTGTCACTCTTGATCACATGGCTGTTGTTGACCACAGGGCTATCTGCTGAGTTCTCTGAACGGTGCATGAACCCTGCTGAGATAACTTGATTTTTCCTATCAAGGACTGAATGAAAATATCAAATCAGTTGTAGGAAATGTTTTTTTTCTGGACACTTGTTCTTTCTTTCCCCAGACCATAGAAATCTCTTACTGTAAGATTATTTCTTCACTGACTACAGTTGATGGTTTAAATTCCTCTGTAATAAACAGTTTAAGACACCAAAGCACAGGTTGGTACCAGGTTGGGCTGCTGCCCCCTCAGTGTTCTGCTCAAGGGGTTTCCCTGAGAGCCCATCTCAGGTGAAGAGCAGGTTGTTGGCAGCACAGCTTGTGTGAGGGCAGGGGGCTGGGACGTGGTTGTGGCAGAAAGTGAGGGGCAGCAGGAAAGGAGGTGGTGGGAGCCAGTCCACCACCAGACGTATCTGCCTGCCTCCTCCAGACACGGCATCTCCAAAATTACATCCCCTGACTGCTGCTTCTCCCCTCAGTGCAGCCCAGCACCGAGAGAGTCTGGGGTACCCATTGCTAGCACCAAGGGGTCACAGTATCACCCTTCATCCCCTTTTTTCCTTGCAGGGTTGGTAAAACCTGAAGTAAGAGGCAGGATGAGGCAAAATGGTAGTGTCATGTATTTAGCTCTATTTTAAGCACATGCTAGCAGCATTTGTAGTCTTGTTTTTATGAAATATGCACTAGTTTTCTATCTTCCTGTTGCTGTAAACTGTACAGCGCTGGGAAGCAGTGCTCTGAGTAGGAGGAAAAATACAATAGTAGCTTTTGACCAGCTTTCATTTTTGCTGCCTACGAAACAAGACTTTTCTAACACAGCTGGCCAGCTGTTCTAGCATTTCTAAAAGTTTTCATACCCTGGCAGCGTTTGAGGCAGTAGGCTATTCTGGTTTTCATTGCCAAGAAAGGCAGGGGTTGTTGCAGTACCAGAGGCAGAAAGCAGCAGAGAGTTACCAGGGGAGAATCCTTTGGAGTCGATAAGGGAGAATAAGAGGGTTTATCAAGCCGCAGGAGTGTCCCTCCTCCTACGTCCCTCGAGCTCCATGGCAGGAACCCGCCTGCTCCAGACCAGGTGCTTGTTTCCAGACATAGAGCTCTTTGTGAAGGTGAGCACCGTGAAGCTACGCAACAGCTATGTTTGTTTATGGAGAACTTTTTACTATATTTGAGATTCATTCGATAGCGTTGAGGAAGGTGAAAGAGCAAGTAGAACTGGTTTCATTAATGTGTGTTGTTTGGTTATAAGATCTGCAAACCTTAATGAACTAACCTATTAACTAAGTAAATGATACACCTGGTTTTTTACTTCTGCGCCTTTACATTTAATCTTCAGTTTTAAAACTGTGCTTTAGGAGAATCTTATCAAGGGCTTAAAAATTAGACCTCTGCACTCTCCCAACAGTGTTGCATGAAGCCTTATTTAACCTACAGTAACTACTGTAGGTAGTTTGCCTCATTTTAACAAAGCCTCTTAACGAAATGCAATACAAAGTACATGAGAGCAACACTTCCGTGGTGACACGAAGGGTGATTTGCACCACTTGTGCTTTACATTGATACCTTACATTACAAGGGCACACAGGAAGAGAGGATGTGGCCACACTTCAGTCTTAAAAGTAGAAGCCTTGAGTCTATAAGGAGGTGGGATTAGCCAGGGGGACACGGCACTTGTTATTCATTAAGCCTCAGTTCAGCAAAGCGCGGGGACGGGTGGGTTCAGCTGGAGCAAGGCTACTGCAAACTTACTTCCTTCCTTCCTTCTCTGGGGTCCCCACAGTTCTTCAGTTTGAAATTCTTGATCATTTGATTTATTCTGTTTCTTCCCTTAAGTGCTTTAGACATTATGTCTCAATTTATGCTGGTAAATCTTTCTCTATTTGTTTCCTGTGATCATAAACTGATTTAAATTGTTTTAATCTTGCAGTGACTTAGGTAGATTTATGTTCACAGAGACAAATGAAGTGGAGACTATTTCCTGTGGAAGGATTGCTGGCATTTCAATTTTGTTTTCCAACTGATGGCAATATTCATTATGTATTTTAATGAAAAACTACCTCTCCAAGATGACAGGATCCTTCATCATATCTATGTGCATGTTTGGAGAAGGATGTAAAGAAACTTTGCATGAAAATATGTGTTAGTAGAGATGAGTAACATGCTATATGTACTCATAGCAGATCTGGGTTTTCTGCTTTCCTACTGCATGTGCTGTCAATATTTGCTGTCATCACAGAGTATGTGCACCTTTTTATTTTATTTTTTTGATTGTAGGCTGGCAGTGATGGAGAAAGTATTGGAAACTGCCCCTTCTCTCAGCGTCTCTTTATGATTCTGTGGCTAAAAGGTGTCATATTTAATGTCACAACCGTGGATTTGAAAAGGTGAGATTGTAACCGGGGTTCTCATTTTCAGAATAACTTTTCCAAAATGGTGACTCTCTTTTAAAGGGTGTCTCTCTTCTGATAGATTTGAAATGCACACTGTAGCTTGGCGTTATGTTAACAGTCTGGATGCCTGATTCCTCGTTAGGGTTCACTAATATAAAGTGGACTAACTCCTTTGAAACAGTTGAGATCTTAATCTGTTTTGCAGTAGGTCTCTATAACATAAGACAGAAGATTTGGGGGTTTTTTTAATCATTTCAGAGCACATTCAGATATGGGCTAGCGACTTCTCACCCCACTGGTGTGAGGCAGCTGGATAAGTTTTATTTAGTAAGAAAGACATGAAGTAGCCTGCCATTTTATAGGGGAAACAGTTTGTTGCAATTGACTGTGGAAATCTCAAAATTGCTTCTTGTTGTGATTAACCCCATCTCTTTTTTTCCCATCAGAAAGCCTGCTGACCTGCAGAACCTCGCCCCAGGAACAAACCCCCCCTTCATGACATTTGACGGCGAAGTGAAAACTGATGTCAATAAGATCGAGGAGTTTTTGGAAGAAAAACTAGCGCCGCCCCGGTACTGTATTCTTGGCCACTTTTAGCCCCTCACGGCCCGTGGGGGCAAGCACCTGCAGAAGCCTGCGTGCCACTGCAGAAACCTGACCTCTTTTCCTCCACTTGTGTTTGTTTGAGGTTTCCCCCTTCGCACTAGATAAATAATTACGTTTACTGGGAGCAGGTAGTTGGAAGAAAAGGGCAGTGGAAGCCTCCCACGTGGCAGATGTGCTAGGGCTCATTTTGAGTGGCCAGGTGGGCTCATCTTACCACACAGCAGGGGCTGGGTTTCAGACTTCTCCTTCCCCACCCCAGCAGCTCTTCCCACCTCTCCCCAAACTGTCCCTGCCCTCCCACCCATCAGCAGCATCGTGTCCACCACCCACCCAGCATCTCTTCCCTGGGACAGCAGTCCCCTCAATGGTGCTGCCTTCTCAAGCTGCCAAACCTGAGTTAAACCAGGCAAGCAGCTGCTCCCCTCCATTTTTCCCTTCCTATCTGGAGTCTGGGAGGAGCAGCAGCTAGTGCGAGTAGGGACTTTCCCTCCTCTCCTCCTCATGGCAGGAGCCACGCTCCACACCACCTCACCTGCCGTGGAGGAGGCCTGGGAGAGGCACTGAGCTGTCTGGGCAATGTTTGCAGTTGTCTCCCACCCCCGTCAGGAGAAGGAGGTCATCCACATGGTTTAACCATGTGGTTTAAATTTGGGCTTGCTAAGTGATTTTTAGGTCAGGATGGTTCCCTTTGAGAGTCCTGCGTGGCTGCAGTGTAAATAATGTGTATTAAATAATTAGCGGAGATGAAAACAAACGCTAGACATATAACTTCTTTTTGTTTCTTTTAACTCCTCAGGTATCCCAAACTTGCACCAAACCACCCCGAGTCTAACTCTGCAGGAAACGACGTGTTTGCAAAATTCTCTGCGTTCATAAAGAACCCAAGAAAAGATGCTAACGAAAGTATGTGCTGCAGTCAGACGGGGTAGTTGCTGGAATAAATTGAAGCTCTACAATTCTAGCATATTGTGCTGCAGATATCCCATTTCCCAAACTGTCCCTGCCCTCCCACCCATCAGCAGCATCGTGTCCACCACCCACCCAGCATCTCTTCCCTGGGACAGCAGTCCCCTCAATGGTGCTGCCTTCTCAAGCTGCCAAACCTGCCTTAAACCAGGCAAGCAGCTGCTCCCCTCCATTTTTCCCTTCCTATCTGGAGCCTGGGAGGAGCAGCAGCTAGTGCGAGTAGGGACTTTCCCCTCTCTCCTCCCCATGGCAGGAGCCATGCTCCACACAGCCTCACCTCCAGTGGAGGAGACCTGGGAGAGGCACTGAGCTGTCTGGGCAATGTTTGCAGTCGTCTCCCACCCCCCTCAGGAGAAGAAGGTCATCCACATGGTTTAACCTTGTGGTTTAAATTTGGACTTGCTAAGTGATTTTTAGGTCAGGATGGTTCCCTTTGAGAGTCCTGCGTGGCTGCAGTGTAAATAATGTGTATTAAATAATTAGCGGAGATGAAAACAAACGCTAGACATATAACTTCTTTTTGTTTCTTTTAACTCCTCAGGTATCCCAAACTTGCACCAAACCACCCCGAGTCTAACTCTGCAGGAAACGACGTGTTTGCAAAATTCTCTGCGTTCATAAAGAACCCAAGAAAAGATGCTAACGAAAGTATGTGCTGCAGTCAGACGGGGTAGTTGCTGGAATAAATTGAAGCTCTACAATTCTAGCATATTGTGCTGCAGATATCCCATTTACAGCTCAGGTTAAGCAGTCGTTTTCCAGAGCATAAAGGCTGTGGAAATCTGTGCCTATTCACTCTCTTATCTGGGGCTTCCCAAAGTTAGTTCAAGCAGATGCCACTGTCAGTATGGGAGCACCAGCTCCAGCTCCTCCCTGTTTCTTCAGCTCTCAAGCCCATAACACTGCAGCTTCCCAACAGCTCTGCTAAAAGCACGGCCCACTTGAACTCAGACCTTACCTTTCTACCTGTCTATAGGACAAGAGGAAACGGTTTAAAATTGGAAGAAAAAAGATTCAGATTAGATATCAGGAAGAAATTTTTTACTATGAGGGTGGTGAGACACTGGAACAGGTTGCCCAGGGAAGTTGTGGATGCCCCATCCCTGGAAGTGTTCAAGGCCAGGCTGGATGGGGCCTTGAGCAACCTGCTCTAGTGGGAGGTGTCCCTGCCCATGGCAAGGGGGGTTGGAACTCCATGATCTTTGAGGTCCCTTCCAACCCGAACCATTCTATGATTCTATGATTCTATTCCATTTGTGTAAATAATGAGGACTCTAGCCCCGTGGCATATCTCTCTAGAGCAGGACCCTCTTTACTACCGTGCGTTAACTCCTCTTTGTCCTTCAGGTCTCAGCCCTGTTTCTCTTGCTGCTCCCTTTTCCCCTCTCCCCAGTGGCACTCAGGCACCACCAGCCTATGAAGACCTCAGCCAACCCTTGCCAGTCCCTGCTCCCTGACCCCACTCTTCCACGCTCAGATGAAAGCTCAGGACTCATGGACCGGTTTCCCTTACACCCCAAAGTGGCATCCTGGTGGCTCACCATGGTCACCCCCAGCCTTGCTGTCCTGCCTGTGGGCATGCACTTGCCCCCTGGCTCCCAAGGCGAGAGTCAATGTGTGAAGGCAGAGCCACTCTGCCAGGCCAGTCTGCAAAAGCACACCCTGCAGAGATATCTCGGGAGCCATTTTTGGTAACACAGCCCCAGTCTGGTTTTTCTCAGAACCCCCTTTAGCTACTTAGAGCTCTTATCCCAGCATTAGGTTTTAAGCTTTGGATAAAGGAATTGCAGGAGTTGGCATGGCCGGGTGTCTGCAAGCTGGGTTGGTGCCAGAAGACAGGATGCAGGAGTCGCCTTTCTGCTTTGGTGTCAGAGAGACCTTGGTACAGGCCTGAATGACCTTTTTATTGTCTTAACCTAGATTTGGAAAAATCTTTGCTTAAAGCCCTGAGGAAGCTGGACAACTATTTAAATAGCCCCTTGCCTGATGAAATTGATGCTTACAGCACTGAGGAGATCACTGTTTCCAGCCGGAAATTCCTGGATGGAGATGAGCTCACCTTAGCGGATTGCAACCTCCTACCAAAGCTCCATATAATCAAGGTTTGGATTTGCTTTTTAGCTTCCTGAGGAGAAGGGCGACACAGAAGCTCAGGTCCTTTTCTAAAATGCAGAGGAATCCTTTACCTATTCTGAGGCCACACAGTGGCTCTGTAGGGACGCTGAATGCTAATGCACAAGGCCATTTCATTACGGCACAGCTAGGCAGATCCTCAGATTGATCACTCCTGAACTAGAATATCTGGTTTCATATCTGGGTTGTGACTGCAGTCTCTAAGCCTCTCACAAGTATGAAATGAGGGCTATATTCAGTGCTATAGAGAAGTTTTCATTTGCATTTCATATGCAAAGTGCCATGGACTAGTAAGGTTAAATTATTTTGTCCATGCCAATTCACTACAAAGGCCTGTAGTGACAGGACGAGGGGCAATGGCTTAAAGCTGGAGGGGAGCAGATTTAGATTGGAGATTAGGAGAAAGTTCTTTACTGTGAGGGTGGTGGAGCACTGGAACAGGTTGCCCAGGGAGGTGGTTGAGGCCCCATCCCTGGAGATATTCAAGGTGAGGCTCGACGAGGCCCTGGGCAACCTGGTCTAGTTGGGGGTGTCCCTGCTGACTGCGGGGAGGTCGGACTAGATGACCTTTGGAGGTCCCTTCCAGCCTGGACAATTCTATGATTCTATGATATGAATTCAAGAAGCCAGAAAAAGCTGAAATTCAAACCTCTTTCTCTCACCTTTAATCCAACATTTTTGTTTTGTTAAATATCACTACTAGTACCAATAAGGCTGGCAGGATAGCCACCACCCACTGCCTTCCAGCCAGGGCTCTTGGCCTCTTCTTACAGAGCACCCACACACACCTAACAGTCCTGGTGACCAAGGTGTCTGGGTGTTATTACAGCCTGTGCCTGGTCGACTCTGGAGCCAACCTGGTTCTGGAAGAGAAATAGCCACACTGGAAATTCATTAGTTTTCAAACAAACAAGGTCACTTCAGAAAGTTTCCTTTTTGACTGCTATGTTTTCAGAGGAAGAGTGGATTGGATTTTTTTTTTTCTGACACCTCCACAAGTGAAAACTTTCCTCAGAGATGTCCTGGTTGAACCTATTCCAGAGAGAGGAGCAAGGGAATGAGCCCTTTCCCACGCCCACGCAAAGCTCAGGCACAGCAGAGCACCAGAGGTAGCTGGGTCACCAGAGCCGAGGCAGGGAGACTCACCTTGTGCCAGGTGAATGTCTGAAGGGTGATGAAGAACCAATGTCACACCATCTTTTCTGGCCAACAGGGAGGGATTAGGTAGTGGCCAATAGGCATTTTCTCTAGCCATTTGAAATTTAGTATTGTAATTCAAGTTTTCCCTTTCTGTTTCAGCGAAATTATCGAGGTGTGGGCCACTTTATTACTGTAAGATTAGTCTGTTAATTCTGGTTTGTGCTAGCTCCTTTGCTGTTGCAAGCTGCATCTCTTCCAGGTGTGGTCTACCGGTCCACATAGCTCCGCATAGCTCTTGCAGAACATACCACATAAATCCTTCAAACTGAGTTAGCTTGTTAGCTAGCTTTCTTTATCTCATGTCTTCTGGGTTTTTTTGTCTTTCCTTCTCCTTTCCCCCTCTGTTGCATATAACAACAGAATTGCACATTAAAAATTAAAAATGTGCATAAAGAGTAGATTTGGGAATTTTTTTTCAGATCATGTGTGTAATGATATTTTTATTTTTTTCTTTTAATAAAAGGTTGTTGCGAAAAAATACAGAAATTTTGATTTTCCACCTGAAATGACAGGGATTTCAAGATACTTGAACAATGCATATGCAAGAGATGAATTTACAAACACTTGTCCTGCTGATCAAGAAATTGAATACGCGTATTTGGATGTTGCAAAGAGAATGAAGTAAACAGAAGATGCCTCAGTTCTTTATTACTTCTGAGATTTAGATGGGCATCAGCCAAGAAAGAAAAAAGCAAAAGCCAGCATACATTCTGCAGTGTAATTTTAAGTTCTGTTATTGGCCAATCCTTCTTTTATAATGATTGTATAGCATTATTTGCTCATTTTTAAATTATGTATGTATATGTTTATGTGTCTGTACAGATATGTACAGACATGCAGACATATGAATGTCTGTTGTGCATTGCAAGTTAAAGGCATCAGTCAATATCAAAGCATTTGTTGAAGTTAGGGAAACGGTGTAGGTCACACAATTATAGCAATATTACGGACTAGTGACTTACACTAAATTGCCGAATTTTGAGAAGAGATAGCCCTGCTTCTAACACACATTTAACCTGTCATTATTGCTGCCTCTGATCTCTGTTTCACAGTTGTTGCCAAACTTCACAGTTACTGGGAGGGTTTTGGTTTGCTTCTTTGCAAGCCTGAGGGCCATGAGCCAGCAGCTGGTGCCCATTCAGCACCCTGGTTAATGCAGGAGAGAGGCCAGCTCGTAGGTGGGACCACACCTGACATCCCAGGAGCTCTCTCCTCTGTGCTAGAGACCTGCAGGGCAGGTCAACAAAGAACACCTCATTTTCACGTTGCATGAGTCTTCTTTGGTATTAAAAATAAATAAATAAATAAGAATTCCTGCCTTCTCTCTCAGGGCTGCATAACCCATCAAACTTCCTGGTGCTCCCAAAGAGAGGAACACAGATTGTCACTGGCCTATGGACTATCTGATAGTAGATATTTGACAAGGGAGGAGGGAGAGGCTTTGTCGCTCTAGACAGAAGAAATAGGTGAACATCTGTCCCCAGCTACCGATGTAGGATCTTTCTTGGTCATCCTTCCATGACTCTCATTTGGTTTTGAAAAGCAAAGAGGAGGAGAGGGTCTAAGAAAGAAACAGTCCTTCTATACTTCCTTTTCCTGGTTGAGCTCCAGCATATTGGCTTTCCCAGGGCAGCTGTTAGGAAGTCATTGCTGAGAGCTTTACAGCTGATAGACACCCGGTATCTATCAGATATCTATCAGAATATCTATCTATCTGTTATGTGTCTATCAGAAACAAGTTAGACCTACCTCCTGCCTTAGGCCAGGGGTGGATTAGATGAACCCCTCCAGCCTCGCATGAGTCTGTGCTCAAGGCAGCCAGTACTGATGAGAAATACCCCGTCGCCTGGCATCAGAGAAAACACTATTAGAGGTGTATGGAGTACGAAAAATGATGTCCACAGCTTCTTTCTGCTGAGCAGGCTCTCAGCAAGCCCATAGGAGTAGAGGGTGCAATGCTTTAGTCATAGGGTCACCTGGAAATTTCCTTCTGACGGATTTTGCCTGTACGTACAAAATAGATGTGAAAATGGCTAAAAATAGCCTTCGTAGCACCTATATCCACAAGAAGACTGTTATAGACTAGTCATTCATCCTTGTCCATGTCAAACATGCGCACGCTTGCTAACAAAGCATTGCTTAAAGGTAATAGTTGGTGTCAGATACATTGTGGCTGCGATGTCTTCGTCTTGCAAACTACACGGTTCTGAGGCAATGTATTATCATGACAATTATTTGTAAGCATTGCTCAATATGCAGTTTTAGTTTGCCTTTAGAGAAAACAGACACAATCCTTTCCCCTTCCACCTTCAGTTGTGAATTCTCATACCGGGGTTGATAGCTGAGCAGTGACTCATCACCTATTACTAACTGTTACTTTGTATTTTCAAATACATACATATATATATAAAAATATATATAAAGAATGAAATCTGTATGCTTTTTTCATATGCCTTACAAATTTAAATAGAAAATATACAAATTCATAAGTAATTTGAACTGTGGTCTGTCTTTATTTCCTTGGTCATTTCCTGGTGAGATGCATCGCAACAGTGGCCTGGATTTTAAGAAATAAGAGGCCAAATTTAATGCAGCTTTTATTTTGGAGGAATCACGTATGCCATGGACCTCCAGGGGGATCTTGAGAGCAGTACACACTGGCTGTGCCCATTACTGCTGAACAAGAACCCAAAGGGCCAGGGTGTAGTCCTTGACCACCTGGCACAAACTGTCCCACATCCACGCAGGTTTGGGGCTGGCCACATTGGTAACTGCTTGGTGTTGGGGAGATCCACTTTTAACACAAGTCTTGAGGTTGGTGGAGATGAATGAAAATGTGCATGTGAAAGCACTAGAAGAAACAGAGAAACAAGGGTTAAAAAAAGGAATAGGCTAATCGCTACAGGGCATTGTAGAAGCAAATTCATTCAAAGGACCTGATAGCAAGAAGGCAAAGAACAAACTGAAGCCTCAGGGTAAGGTAAAGAGATGAGGAGAAACAGGAGGGGAGCCATAAAACATCCTGATGAAGAAAACCACAGAGCGATGGCAAACAGGAATTTTGCTGAAGAAACAGAGAAACAAGGGTTAAAAAAAGGAATAGGCTAATCGCTACAGGGCATTGTAGAAGCAAATTCATTCAAAGGACCTGATAGCAAGAAGGCAAAGAACAAACTGAAGCCTCAAGGTAAGGTAAAGAGTTGAGGAGAAACAGGATGAAGAAAACCACAGAACAGTGGCACATGGGAATTTTGCCTTTGACTTAAAGATCCTGACAGATCCCTAGGGAGTATAAAAGGCACATCCAGAAAACAGTTGGTTGTCACCAGTGGAGAATCCAGGAGCTGTGCCAGGACGTGACAGCCAACAGCCAGCAGCACTGGTCTGCCACCTCACTCACAGACCGCGTGGGCGGGCATCAGGGTGCAGGTGACCCACGGGACACTGAAAGTAAGTAAAATATGTGGCAGTTAGAATAAGTATCACCATTCTTTTCCATAAGCTGCCATGCTGGCTTCCTTCTCCTGGACCCATAGTAACAGCCACCCCGTGGTGTGCCCCTGCCTGCTTTCCTAACCCAACCACAGCACCCGTGTTGGTGCCCAAAGACGCCAACACAGCTCAGGAGGCTGCAGCTCAGGAGCTGGTGTGCCAGGGATCATCAGCAGCCCATCACTCTTTGTCCTTACTGACTGAAAAGGGTAAGAGACACATCTGTCTGAAACACCATTCTGCTTTGTGTTATGCCCATGTTTATGGTTTATAGACACCATGAAACTTCTTTTTCCCTCCAGATCATACATTTAACCTCCCTCGCCCTGTCTTCTTTCTCCATGACTTCATCAGAATCACATGCCTGCACTTTCAGTAGTGTCAGGTAAAGGGGAAAAAAGCCTCAGACGCTCAACAAAGCTAGTTTTTTTTTCTTAAAATCTGACGTTGCTTGGAAGGATGTTTGATTAAATGCTTGGGCCACTGATAGTTTTGAAACCTAACGTTTTGTGGTTTCCTTACCCCCCTTACTCATGCAAAAGATGTTTATGGCTCCAGCTCTCCACGGTGGATTTTTGGGCACGCATGATGCTACCTACAACAGCACATTATGATTGGTGTTTGCATATTTCTGGCAACACAGGGAGATGCGGGTAAAGAAGTCACAGAAATGACCCAGAGTATCAGAAAACTGCAGCCACTTCATTTGTCCTGGAATCATGTGAGCTAAAGTGTCCACACAATCCCATTTATCTGCTACATATTTTGAGTGTACACTAAATGAAACTGTACCTTCTACACATTTGACTGTCTAAGTCTGGACCTTCTTAAAACACGTTATTTTTAAGAAAATACCTATGCCCATATTTGAGTGACTCTATTTTTAAAAGACTATTGAAGGATTTCTTTTAACAATTTACTGGAGAACAAATTAGATGAGATAAAGGGAGAGAGAAAGTAAGTTGTGGTGTTAAAGGTATCACCAGTTGCCCGAGTAGCCTTGACATGCGATAAGATGTAAAATCTAGACAGAGATTTGTAGTGCTTGATCCCATGCCAGGGCAGAAATCCTATTCCATTACTTAAAGCCATGTTTGTGGAGACTGAGCTACTGATTTCCAAATGCATTATTAGCATAAGTAGTCTTCTATGTGGTGTTGCTTGTACAAAAAAAAGTTTTTATTATATTACTATTTAAAATACATTTTTTTACATTTCCCTTTTAAGCACCTATTATACGCAAGGCAAATAAGGTCATACAGTTGCTTTATTAATTGTTCTTCAACCACTTCTGTAGAAAACTCTTCAAGGTTTGAAGGTTTCTTTCTCAGCGTCAGTACCCGAGTCTTCAGCACGACCCATCAACTTGAAGGTTAAACACTACTTGCGCTCAATGCAGTATTTCCAAAAGCAAGCTGAAATAAAATCAAATGCAGGATAACTAACTGTTACATATTTTCCCCTATGCATTCTTTTTTTTTTTTTTTTTTAACAAAGCAGTGAAAAAATAAACCTCGTGAAGGCAAGTTACTCATGCATATCAACATGGTATTTGTTTGAGTATAACCAAATATCTAAACTTCAGAAGCTCTTTGCAACTGGCTGAAAATTAGTTTAAAAGCCAGTATTTTTTTTTTTTTCTAAGTCATTAGAAAGGTTATTTCTAAGCTGTCAAGAACCAGTAGTTAAGTGCTAAGGTGAGGCACGACATTGAAAGTTCAAGTCAATAGAAACTATCCACTGCATGGTAGAGCCTTGACTAGGTTAGCAAACATCACTCTCAACCAGCCACCCCAAGTGCTGATATCACCCAAGTGCTGCCAACAACCCAGATGTCCCCCATGGGCCCTTGAAAGCTACCCAAAGGCTCATAGTAGTTCTGTGGACACTCACCGTGACTTTACTGACCGCTCACGGGAGCTGCTGCCCTACAAACTAAGACTCCTGGTGAGACATCCTGAATTCCTGGCAGGGCTGGGAGAGCAGAGATTTGCCCCAAAGCTCACTGCTACACTCTCCAGTCAGCATCCTTAACTGGCATTGTATTCCTGAACTACTCATAGCTGTCTCATGTGACAGAGACCCAAATGTAGGCCCTGCTCATGAGCTACCGAATAAATCAACCCAGTGGATTTTCTAACATATAGCTCAGACCAGCATTCAGTTTTCCTGCACTAGCAAACTGCAAAGAAGGGAAGGAGAAAGGTTTTTCCAGGTCCTGGCCTAAATTGGACTCATGCTGATTAAGATGTTTTTACTGATGAGCAGAATGCAAACAGAAAAATTTATTCTGGAAATGAATTAAGGGAAACTAGAGTCTTATTTGGAAATTTGAAAATTGTTCAACTTTTTGATTAAATCAAACCAATGAACCAAAATCAAAATAAATGGTCCTTTTCAAACACTGAGGGCATTTGTTTTTCTTGGGTTTTTTCCTCTATCATTCCGTTCCCTTTTATTTTATTATTTTCAGTGATGAAAAGGGAAAAATGAGAGGTAGAAGTGCTGGAGAAAAAATGAAAAAAGGCCACAGAATATCAAACTTTGGTTTTCAACTCAAGATTAAAAAGTAAAACAAGACCTAAACTAAACCTGTATCTTCTTTTGATGAGAAGTATTTGAAAAGCTGCTTTCATTCAACTTCTTGTTCTTCATTTTGAAAACATTAGGATCTGTAACAAGCTACTAAAAGTTTCACTCCTTTCGTGATCTGCAGGGAAGGCAAGGGGTGAAAACAAGTGGAAACTCTGCTGCTCCTTTGCCTATAGGAAAAATCACAGAACAGATCTTCCAGCTCACTCCACTGTAGGATACTAAAATTGCTCCAGGTAATGAAGCCATCCTCATATAAGAGGCTACAAGGAATCAGACCTCACATAGGTTGCAAGGAGGATGCTGCATGTCAGATCCCCCTGATACAACATAGAGGCTCTGTGTGCCTCACACAGAACTGTACTGTAGATAGGGTGGTACAAGCACTTCTGTGCCTAAGGATGCCTGAGCAAGGTGGTAAGGATGTGTCCATACAGTAAGAATATTCGTTATAATACCTTGTGGTGTGGATAGAAAGTCTCACTACTGCATCAGTACAAGTCTGCCTGAAGGTTACTCCTCTGCTGGTTAATCAGCAAACCCTCCTCTGATAGAGCTCACATCACTGAGGATGCAATTTGAGGTAAACTGAATGCCTTTCCCCACCTCCTCCCTCTCCCATTTCATTCTAGATAAAGCTTCTGCCTTGGGACATGTGGTAGCAAAGGCACACCCAGATAACCGCATCAATGCACTGATAGAACAGGCAGCCTGCTGAACCACAGCTGCTGCAGAAGTGAGAGCAGCTCTAGCAGCTGACCATGCTCCTACATCCTCATGACAACAGTCACCTTGGCTCTGCAGGCTTGTGCGACAGCACTCTAACCTGGTTCAGCTGTCCAAAGTGCCTACGTTACCCTGTTTTTCTTCACCAAGATGATGCTCTGTCCAGGTTAGAGCACGCTGCTTCACAGCGGAGTGGGGGCAATAGCCTGCTTGTATCACGTAGACACTCCCCTAATACCACAGCAAGGTTGTTCTCACCAAGTTAAGAGTTGTTTCTATAAATGTGGGAAGGCACTGGAATTTTTTAATCTCCATCCTCCTTTTTCTTATTCAAGGGTAGGTTTCTTGCCCCTGGCATAAGCAGCACAGAGTCTCTACCTAGGGCATGCAGAGAAGTTCCTCTCTCAGCTCTCCTGCCAGCTGGGGCTGAGTGCACACCTTGAGCTAGAAGCTCTCCCAGGGCCCACAGAGATACAAACCAGAGGTCAGTTGGTCCTACAGTGCGATAAGCAAGTGAGGTGAATGGCTCATGTTGTGCTTAAACCCCACTGTACAAGGGGAAAGAATAAGGAGATCCCACCCAAGGGCAGCTTTGGGCAGGACTGAGGGGTACTCAGTGTGCAGAAACAGGCACCAGGATGTAACAAGCTCAAAAACTGGAGATTAGGAGAGGGTTCTTCACT